ATTATTTTCGAAAGGCCATTTACAATGGATTTTGAATGTTACAGATCACGGATTCGGTCTGACGCTATTCTTCAACGATGATTAAGTCCATTAAGCACCGATTCGGGCGGATATCTTCCGGGTCAATTTTTGGCAGATCCCAAAGGGGTACCATCACCGATTTCGACTATTTTTCCGAAATGCCATTTTCTTTCGATTTTTGAGGCTACAGATCACGGATTCAACCAGAGGCTATTCTCCACATATAATGAAGTCTATTGATCCTATTCTCCGCTAATGATTAAGCCCATTATCCATCGATTTGGACGAATTTTATTTGGGATGGCATTTTCGTAATATTTTAGACGATCCTTTTCGAAAGGCCGTACCATGAATTTTGAAGGCTACAGATCACGGATTCGGTGTGAGGCTATTCTTCAACGATGATGAAGTCCATTAAGCACCGAATCGGGCGAATATCTTCCGGGTCAATTTTTGGCAGATCCCAAAGGGGTACCATCACCGATTTCGGGCGATTTTTCCGAAATGCCTTTTTCTTTCGATTTTTGAAGCTACAGATCACAGATTCAACCCGAGGCTATTCTCCACATATAATGAAGTCTATTGATCATATTCTCCGCTAATGATTAAACCCATTATCAATCGATTTGGGCGAATTTTATTTGGGATGGCATTTTCGTAATATTTTAGACGATCCTTTTCGAAAGGCCATTTACCATGGATTTTAAAGGCTACAGATCACGGATTCTGTCTGAGGCTATTCTTCAAGGATGATTAAGTCCATTAAGCACCGATTCGGCCGGATATCTTCCGGGTCAATTTTTGACAGATCCCAAAGGGGTACCATCACCGATTTCGGGCGATTTTTCCAAAATGCCGTTTACTTTCGATTTTTGAGGCTACATATGACGGATTCAAACCGAGGCTATTCTCCACATATAATGAAGTCTATAGATCCTATTCTCCGCCAATGATTAAGCCCATTAAGCATATATTTGGGCGAATTTATTTTGGGATGGCATTTTCGTAATATTTTAGACGATTCTTTTCGAAAGGCCATTTACCATGGATTTTGAAGGCTACAGATTACGGATTCTGTCTGAGGCTATTCTTCAACGATGATGAAGTCCATTAAGCACCGATTCGGGGGAATATCTTCCGGGTGAATTTTTGGCAGATCCCAAAGGGGGTACCATCACCGATTTTGGGCGATTTTTCCGAAATGTCATTTTCTTTCGATTTTGGAAGCTACTGATCACGGATTCAACCCGAGGCTATTCTCCACATATAATCAAGTTTATCGATCCTATTCTCCGCCAATGATTAAGCCCATTATCCATCGATTTGGGCGCATTTATTTTGGGATGGCATTTTCGTAATATTTTAGACGATTTTTTCGAAAGGACATTAACCATTGATTTTGAAGGCTACAGATCACGGATTCGGTTTGAGACTATTCTTCAACGATGATGAAGTCCATTAAGCACCGATTCGGCCGGATATCTTCCGGGTCAATTTTTGGCATATCCCGAAGGGTACCATCAACGATTTCGGGCTATTTTTCCGAAATGTCATTTTTTAATTTTATTTTTAAGGCTACTGATCACGGATTCAACCCGAGGCTATTCTCCACATATAATGAAGTCTATTGATCCTATTCTCCGCCAATGATTAAGCCCATTATCCATCGATTTGGGCGCATTTATTTTGGGATGGCATTTTAGTAATATTTTAGATGATCATTTTCGAAAGGCCATTTACCATGGATTTTGAAGGCTACAGATCACGGATTCGGTCTGAGGCTATTCTTCAACGAGGATGAAGTCCATTAAGCAGCGATTCGGGCGAATATCTTCCGGGTCAATTTTTGGCAAATCCCAAAGGGGGTACCTTCACCGATTTCGGGCGATTTTTCAGAAATGCCATTTTCTTTCGATTTTGGAGGCTACAGATCACGGATTCAACCCGAGGCTATTCTCCACATATAATGAAGTCTATCGATCCTATTCTACGCCAATGATTAAGCCCACTAAGCATATATTTGTGCGAATTTATTTTGGGATTGCATTTTCGAAATATTTTAGATAATTTTTTTCGAAAGGCCATTAACCATGGATTTTGAAGGCTACAGATCACGGATTCGGTCTGAGGCTATTCTTCAACGATGATTAAGTCCATTAAGCACCAATTCGGGCGGATATCTTCCGGGACAATTTTGACAGATCCCATAGGGGTACCATCACCGATTTCGGGCTATTTTTCCGAAATGGCATTTCCTTTCGATTTTTGAGGCTACAGATCACGGATTCAACCCGAGGCTATTCTCCACATATAATGAAGTCTATTGATCCTATTCTCCGCCAATGATTAAGCCCATTATCCATCGATTTGGGCGAATTTTTTTTGGGATGGCATTTTCGTAATATTTTAGACGATCCTTTTCGAAAGGCCATTTACCAAGGATTTTGAAGGTTACAGATCACGGATTCTGTCTGAGGCTATTTTTCAAAGATGATTAAGTCCATTAAGCACCGATTCGGCCGGATATCTTCCGGGTCAATTTTTGGCAGATCCCAAAGGGGTACCATCACCGATTTCGGCCAATTTTTCCGAAATGCCATTTTCTTTCTATTTTTGAGGCTACAGATGACGGATTCAAACCGAGGCTATTCTCCACATATAATGAAGTCTATTGATCCTATTCTCCGCCAATTATTAAGCCCATTATCCATCGATTTAGGCGAATTTTATTTGGGATGGCATTTTCGTAATATTTTAGACGATCCTTTTCGAAAGGCCATTTACCATGGATTTTGAAGGCTACAGATCACGGATTCTGTCTGAGGCTATTCTTCAAGGATGATTAAGTCCATTAAGCACCGATTCGGCCGGATATCTTCCGGGTCAATTTTTGGCAGATCCCAAAGGGGTACCATCACCGATTTCGGTCGATTTTTCCGAAATGTCGTTTTTTTCGATTTTTGAGGCTACAGTTGACGGATTCAAACCGAGGCTATTCTCCACATATAATGAAGTCTATTGATCCTATTCTCCGCCAATGATTAAGCCCATTATCCATCGATTTGGGCGAATTTATTTCCGGATGGCATTTTCGTAATATTTTAGACGATTCTTTTCGAAAGGCCATTTACCATGGATTTTGAAGGCTACATATCACGGATTCGGTATGATGCTAATATTCAAAGATGATTAAGTCCATTAAGCACCAATTCGGGCGGATATCTTCCGGGTCAATTTTTGGCAGATCCAAATGGGTACCATCACCGATTTCGGGCGATTTTTCCGAAATGCCATTTTCTTTCGATTTGGAGGCTACAGATGACGGATTCAAACCAAGGCTATTCTCCTGAAATAAGGAAGTCTATTGATCATATTCTCTGCCAATGATTAAGCCCATTAACCATCGATTTGGGCGAATTTATTTTGGGATGGCATTTTCGTAATATTTTAGACGATTCTTTTCGAAAGGCCATTTACCATGGATTTTGAAGGCTACAGATTACGGATTCGTTCTGAGACTATTCTTCAACGATGATTAAGTCCATTAAGCACCGATTCTGCCGGATATTTTCCGGGTCAATTTTTGGCAGATCCCAAAGGGGTACCATCATCGATTTCGGGCGATTTTTCAGAAATGTCATTTTCTTTCGATTTCGGAGGCTACAGATCACGAATTCAACCCGAGGCTATTCTCCACATATAATGAAGTCTATCGATCCTATTCTACGCCAATGATTAAGCCCATTAAGCATATATTTGGGCGAATTTATTTTGGGATGGTATTTTCGTAATATTTTAGACGATTTTTTTCGAAAGGCCATTAACCATCGATTTTGAAGGCTACAAATCACGGATTCGGTCTGAGGCTATTCTTCAACGTTGATTAAGTCCATTAAGCACCGATTCGGGTGGATATCTTCCGGATCAATTTTTGGCAGATCCCAAAGGGGTACCATCACCGATTTCGGGCTATTTTTCTGAAATGCCATTTTCTTTTGATTTTTAAGGCTACTGATCACAAATTCAACCCGAGGCTATTCTCCACATATAATGAAGTCTATTGATCCTATTTTCCGCCAATGATTAAGCCCATTATCCATTGATTTGGGCGAATTTATTTTGGGATGGCATTTTCGTAATATTTTTGACGATTCTTTTCGAAAGGCCATTTACCATGATTTTGAAGGCTATAGATCACGGATTCGATCTGAGGCTATTCTTCAAAGATGATTAAGTCAATTAAGCACCGATTCGGGCGGATATCTTCCGGGTCAATTTTTGGCAGATCCCAAAGGGACTGATTTCGGACGATTTATCCCAAATGCTATTTTCTTTCGATTTTGGAGGTTACAGATGACGGATTCAAACCGAGGCTATTCTCCAGATATAATAAAGTCTATATATCATATTCTCCGCCAATGATTAAGCCCATTAAGCATCGATTTGGGCGAATTTGTTTTGGGATGGCATTTTCGTAATATTTTAGACGATTCTTTTCGAAAGGCCATTTACCATGGATTTTGAAGGCTACAAATTACGGATTCGGTCTGAGACTATTCTTCAACGATGATTAAGTCCATTAAGCACCGATTCGGGCGGATATCTTCGTGGAGTTTTTTAGAATAACTCACTTTCAAATTATTTGTAAATAACTCGATCCCAATTAACTTATTTCACTTTTTGTACCCAAACGAGTTATTCTTATGAGTTATTTTAACCAGAATAACTCATACAAATCATGCATCCAAACCATCCCTTAGAATTATTTGGTTCTCTCCAATATCTCAAAGTCTAATATAAACTCGTCACTAACTATACATTCCATTGCATGTACATGTCTCAAATAAAAAATCTATGAGGTTACTAATGATGTACTCGAAGAACCAAACCCCCCAAATAAATTTCCTTTCACTAAGAAAGACTCATATAAATATACAGAAGACATGATTGGTTGCATGTTTCTAATCATATAATTCACATTGATCACCAAAATTTCATTATGTTAAATATTCTTGGAAGAAATCCAAATTTCCCAAGACTTCGAATGTTTCTATCATGCATGCTGTTTTGCTATGTGGCAACTTTAATCTCCTTATCTTACCTAAACTACAAGACTCGCGTGAAGGCTGAAAAGAGCAGACAGCCTTAACGTAAATTGACATTTCTATGTTTTACAATCTTGTAAATTGACAACTAATTACTTGCAATTACACGAACCGCAATGCGTACTTAATGACAAAGATGGTCTGAAACTAATAGCTTTAGAAGGAACAACTGATGGGTTGTCATAGAAAACTACTCAGAATAACCCATCACCACAATAACAGTGTCTGATGTAACAAACCACAGGATAAAGCGAGGACGAGCAAGCAACAAATAACTAACCAAGCCACACAAAGAGCAAGCCCCTCTAGCTCCCATCTGCCTAATCGACTTCAATTCCACAGCACGCTAATCAACTACAAGTTGTCGGCGCTTGTAACGCACCATAACGCTTCCTTTAACACCCACCACCATTGCATTCCAGTCAATCTCTGGGAAGGGAGAAACAAGCTCGAGCTCGAAGTTCCTCAGCAGATGGGTCCATATGGCCTTTATCTGCAAGTACGCAAAGGGCTCACCGAGGCAGCCATGCCTACCTCCACCAAATGATATGTAGGAGAAAGCCCCTGCTGCCTTATCCTCTTCCCTTCCTGGAGCAAACCTGTTAGGATCATACTTATCTGGCTCGGTGAAGATATGTGGAAGCCGGTTAGCAAACGCAGGAGAAGTCGCCACGATGTGCCCCTTTGGGATGTCATACTCCTTCCCTTCTTGTGTGGTCACGCTGAAATCGCTGTGCGATTGGCGCATCAACATTATCAATGGAGGGTGCAACCTCAGAGCTTCCTTGATGCACCGGTATAGCACTTCCATTTCAGACAGCACATCATGATCCACTCTGTTACCGTGTTTCCTCAGCAGCTGCTTCTGCTCCTCAACAACGCTAGAGAGATACTCCTCCTTGTGACGTAGGAGGTAGGCCCCGGTCCAAGTGGACGTGATGGAGCTAGTGTGCTGCCCGGCAAAAAGAGCTGCGATGAGCAAGCCTGTGACCTCGCCTTCAGTTGTTGGGCGGCCATCTTTGTACTTGGAGTCAATAAAGCATTGCAGCATGTCGTTCTCCGAGCTACCAGTTTTCTTCCGCGAATTGATAATGTTGGCGAAGATCTGGGCAAGCTTCTTGCGAGCAAGGTCACGCCGGCGGTGAGCTGGAATGGGGAGATAAGGGAATAGGACACTGATTGGAAGCATCCCATTGTCGAGATCGTGGAATAGGGCAGAGACATCATCAAATAGCTTATCACGAACCTCTCGGCCAAGTAAGCACCTGCTTGCCGTCAGAATGATAAGGTGCTCAAGCTCGTATTTCAAATCCACCTCTCCGCTGTCTCCCCACTTGGAGAAGTAATCCTGCATTGTTTGAATTATAACAAAAATCAGACTACACAGTAGGAGTAGCTAGACTATCCAAATTGGTATCTATATGTAATATTGTGTTTGTTCGCGTGTTAATAAGCCAGTATTATTTCTCTCAAATCTCCATTACTTGTATATGAAAACGAGAATAAATGACAATCGAGACCGACGTTCCTATTTCCTGGAATACATGTTAAAATACTTCATACATCCAAGTATTCGAGATTGCATCATGTTGATGGATTCAAGATTGCACGTACAATTTCAAATGCACTCAAATACAAAGGTACTAACAAAAACCGATCTATTCATTCAATTGAATGCTACTGTCAGTATCGTTCTTATACGTACACCCACCCAAACGACTTGTAAAAAAGAGATCATGTTGGTACAAGCAAAGTCACTTCTCATACTTGATTCTAATAAGAAATTGCAGCAATTACATAGAGAGTGAGGGGTTACAAGAAAATTTCTGACCTGGGCTTCTGTAACCATCATATCGACATAGCCCTTGAGCTTGTTGACACGTAGGGACTCGGTGAAGAAGCGGAACTGCTCCTGGCGAATGGAGTAATCGACGTCGAAGACGACTCCAGGGCCAAAAGTCGGGACATTGAACTGGTAGACCTCCTGCTGGCTGAGGTCAGCTTCAGGGGCCTTGAAGAAGTGGGCAGAGACCTCCGGGCCAATGAGGAAGGTGATGTTCCTGTTGACAAGATTCAAGGTGAAGACGCTTCCCAGCTTAGGGTACTCCTCCCTCAGCATCACAATAGGACCCTTAAGGAACCTCAGCAGCCCACCAACGACCGGTATCCCCTGCTTCACCTTTGGGGGTAGCCTCCGCTTCCCAGATCCGCTCATGAACAATGCAGTCACCACTTTGGCCACCAGCAAAGTGGCCACGATCAGGAGTGCCACGTTCACCAGCTTGAGTTTATTATTTTCAGGATCCGAATCCATGGCTACTTTCGAGCTACCTACGCACAACTAACTGCCAGATCGAAGTATGAGTGAGCTAAATGAGGCACACCAGCTCATCCAAACAAATCTAAAAGGACAATTCAAAGGGGAGGAAACCAAAAACACATCCAAAACCCAACGATTGAGAATGCAGATTCAGTAGAAGAAACAATCTCGAACAACATTGCAAACAATGCAGTAAAAAAGATATGATTTTTGCATACAGGATGGCAATAAAAGTCCCACTGAACAACAGAAGCTCGTACAAGACTTAAGCATTTAGGGGATCCACTCATCCACAGGTTGCTAGCATTCAGCAACTGATTGAAGGGAAACCCAACACATTACTGTCCCCTAATCAAATTAAATGTAGATTCAGAGAAACAGTAAAGGAGCACTCCACACACCAGACCGATCATCCATTAGTTCAATCCCAGAAGTTTGAATCTTTTACCTCGGCGGCAGGGGCGAGTAGACTGGAGATATGAGAAGAGCGGATTCGTGCAGCGGCAGTGCTGCGGTGGTCGTCAGGGAGAAGGGTTCGGAAGATGTGAAGATGGGGGTAAAGAACAACCGAGCGCTGGCGGTGGCGAGCGGGTTCTGGCAGGGACGATTCAGATCCGCCGGCTGGAGATCGAAGGGAAAAGATGGGCGGTACCGACGAAGGATGAAGAACAGAATGGTGTCTTTATGACTTTAACCCCCGCTACTACTAGTGTTGTTGGGGGCTTGTGGCCCAACCCGTTGGCTGGCTGATGGTTTTGGTCTCCAAGTGGGTTTGTTTGTTCTTTTATGTCTAAAAAATATCAGTCTTAGCTGTGTTTTATTTGGACTTGAGCTAATTAAATACTGACCCTTTGTTTCTAATTTCAAAATTTAATAGATCTGAATTAATTTATTTAAGTTGAACCATAAAAAATTCATTTAAGTTGATGTAACATAGTAACTACTTTGGTTGTAGAAAAAGGTACTTACTTTATTATTATTCTATTATCAGACAAAATTATCATTTTATTATCACTATTTTTTATTTATAAAATGTTTTATATTTGTTTTATCATAGAAAGTAAATTATGTAAGAGTGGATCGATTCGTCCGCCCCATACCTGCAGGGCCGCACGGGTAATATCCGTTCTGACCCGCTCCACCCATGTGTCATCACGGCTGTAGCTAAATTTACCTATTAGGTATTTTCAATTATATAAATGTAAGTTCGACAATAGCCCGAAATCAATGAATCGAATAACAAAACAAAATAAATTTTTCGATACTTGTCGTACTCTTGCACGCTTGTGAGCTACAAACAATTGGTAAGTTACATTTCATCAAACAAAATCCGTATATCCATCATGCTTCTCGTTGTTAATGTATATCCAAATTATACCCCGTTGATTTGTCTATATAGCAAACTGATTCAAACCGGCTCGAACTCAATCCTATTGTTGAACCTTAAATCACTTGTTTGATGGTTCAAACCAGTTTGACAACGATGGGGTTGCAATTATATCTCCAAGTTAGTGACTAATTATATCTCCAGGTGATCTTATTCGGAAGTCCAGATTACAAGATTAATACTGCCTAGCAAATTGATCTTCTTGTCACTGATCACAGCCAAGAACAGAGCAAACTTCAACTTTGGCCACCTTGTTAACTTGGTCGCAATATATAAGATGACCACCAGCCAGCAATGGTGATGAATAGCCACGTACTCATAAAATGCAATCTTGGGAAGCCACGCTGTAAACATTAAAGCGCGAAGAAGGAAGGAAGAGATCATATTCAGTGGGTGGAGGACCGAAACCATTTCTAAATGTTGTCAGCGATTAGCTTCTCCATGTTGGTCGACTAATTGGGGAATGCTTACTTATCAGACAACCCCAGCTCCCTCTAAATGTCATTTGGGTAATGATTTTTTTCAAAAGAGAATCCTACAAGGCTAGCTTATATCGGTCCTTGAATGGTTGGTTGCAGCTCTCTGCCACCTCCTCACTCTCAGTTGCCATAAAAAGAACACATAGTGGTGTATTAGCTTTCTTTTCAATCTGGGTTGCGAATGAGGTAATTCGCTACTTCTGTTGCATAGTGGTATCATGATGAAGCAGAAAATGTACACAATTTCAAGTTGCAAACTCTCGGGATGACAGAGGGCTGGAAAACGATGGCTACAGAGAGAAAAACATCAATGGAAAACAGGGGTTGCGATGGCATTCTTTCCTTCTCAAGAGATTCCCCTTGTTTTAGCAACCAGAAGCAGCTCTGGAAAGCAATAATTTCTCCTTGTTTTGGATGATAAGCGCGCATTTTCTCCAGAAAAATCTTACACCCCATAAACAGCAAAGATTTCCAAGGAAGAAACTGGGGAGTGGCCAAAAACTTAGCTCAGTCATCAACCAAAACAAACGGCCTCTGTTTTCCCCTGTTTTCCAATTTGCCAGCTCCATTCTACTAGTAACTTGCTCATTGATCAACCAAACCCACCGCCGTTTTCCTTTGCTCTCAGAATTCTAGATCCGTTATACTCGTAAATTTCTCAATCGTCATCCAAACCCACCTCTGTTTTTTTCCCTGTTTCCCGAACTTTAGCTCCATTCTACTAGTAATTTGCTCATTCATCAACCAAACGACCTCTGTTTTCTCCTGTTTCTATCCAGCCTCCCCTGTTTACCTTCTTCTTCTGATCTCTCTGCCTCCTCTGTTCTTACCCCTCTCTTTTCCTACTCCTTGAAGAAATGAGGGCCGAAAGATCTTCCTGGATGGAGTTTCTGTTCACGGCGGCGTTGATACTCGCCGCCTTTTCTCCGTTGGCGGTGAGCTGCGCTACCACTGTTCTCCGCTTGGAGAGGACACCGGTCCCTTTGAATTCATCTGCTGGCGTGGAGAAAATCAGTGCTCAGGACCGGGCTAGGCACGCCCGTCTGTTTAGCGGCGTCGCCAACTTCTCCGTCTACGGATCCGCCGATTCCGAACTCTACGGGTAGGTTTTCTTCTTCTTCTTTTAATTCATTTTTGGCGGCAAAAAGACGGTACACAAAAGTCCCAACGATGTCGTTCTGCGTATGGAAACGTTCTGTTTTTTACAAGCATTTCTCAATAAGATTTTTTTTTATTTCCCGCCGTTTCGCTTCCTCCTCTTCATCCACAGCCTTCACGACTCCATAGTTCTCAGCTTCGCCCTTTCCCCTCTCCCCATTGAACCCTTTCCCAAGTTGATTGCGGCCAGTAATGGCGAGGATTTTCATATTTGGGTTCGACTAGATGTTGTAGGTACATAACCCATTCTCTGATTTAGGGCATCAATGGCGGTAGGTGTTAATTCTGGGTTCTCGGTTTCCTGCTTGCAATAATCTAATAGTTAATTGCATGCATGGGTTTACTAGTTTCCTCATAATTGTGGCGTTTTTTGCAGGATTTACTACACTAAAGTCAAGTTGGGCTCTCCTCCTCAAGAGTTCAGCTTACAGATAGATACAGGCAGTGATTTGCTTTGGGTTAGCGCAAAAACTTGTGGGAACTGCCCACGCTCCAGCAGTTTCAGGGTGAGTGGTTCTTGGACTTATTTATTGTGCTTATGGCTCTGGACCAAATTAATGAGAAGAATTGAATATTTTGTTTGTAAAAAACCCTAGAATGCAAATAGATGGCAGTAGGGAATGAGAATACTTTTATTGATAACTATACATGCATATATATATCTCGCTTAAATGAAATGGTGAGAATGAGTGCTCTACTTCTACAAGGTGGAGCCAAATGATGAAGCTGTTACTCCTCTTTTCCAAGATAAACTTCAAATGTGCTTTTCGTTGTTTAAGGTCATTACATGATTAGCCTCTTCATTCCAAGTCAATGAATGGCTTTTGCTTGCTGTGAAATCTATCTCTTCATTCCTACTTTCCTAGTCACTTCTCGACTTTTGCTTGCTATTGGAAAGCTGTGCTGCCAACATTTAATGTCTTTAACTTCCTATGATGCATGTGGAATCGTGATTCATCAATATTTGTTTGATGTTGTGTAGATTGAGCTTAGGTTTTATGATGCTGCTGCATCTTCCACCGCCAAGGTGGTTCCTTGCTCCAATAAAGCTTGCCCAACTCGCTGTACCGAGAATGGAGAGTGTAGCTACAAGATCAATTATGAAGATCATAGTGAAACAGATGGATATTACGTTGTAGATAGAATCTACTTGGATTCCATTCAGCCCGACTCGACCATTGCCACCTCGTCAGCCCCCATCGTGTTTGGGTGTGTTATTTGAGTAATGATCAATTCTTGCTTCTTCTTCTTTTGTATGGAAGCTTACTTGAGTACTGGTGTTTGACACAGTGCTAGCACCTACCAGTCTGGTGAGTTAGGTGATTCAGCCCTTGCCGTTGATGGAATGTTTGGACTCGGACACGGACCTCTCTCACCCATCTCACAATTGTCCTCCGAAGGAGTTATACCCCGAGTTTTCTCTCATTGCTTGAAAGGAGAGGGCCTCGGGGGTGGTACGTTTGTTCTTGGAGAGATATCGGAGCCGGGGATGGTCTATACCCCTCTTGTCCCAGCACAGTGAGTACTTTTATTCTTTATTTAATTGAACCAATGTCATTCGAAATTGTATAGTTTATTATTCTACATTCTGCTGCAAGTTCTTGTTGTTCAGTTGACTGGGAAATCCAAACACTAACACAAGCTCCTCTTTGTAAATTGTAGGCCTCATTACAATCTTGATCTGCAAAGCATAGCCGTGAATGGAGAGCTGTTGCCTGTTGATTCATCCGTCTTTACAACGTCAACTGGTCGAGGAACGTTTATTGACAGTGGAACGACTTTGGCATACCTGGTGGAAGAAGCTTACGAGCCATTCATCAGTGCTGTAAGTAAAATTCTCTCCCATGGCCTTGTTAAATATAGATGGTGGATTGCCTTAGGTAAATGGTTTACATTTTAGAAACATGTGTCTGTGCAAAAGAACAGTTTTATAGTATTGGATAATCCAGCAGCTGAGGATCAGGACTGTCACTGCTCACTTTACAGCAGCTGAGGTGGGCGTATCCACCTTGCAGCTGGCTCAACCTTGTTCTTCACCATGTTTTTTCAGCAGCAGTGGCCTCTGGTCCTCCAAGTTGCTTTTTTAGTTCTGTCTTTTGCGTTTCTTTTTTATGTTCTATTTGTTCTTTGGTCCTGGATGGCTGGTCAGGGATCGTTCCTGTTTGTTTCTGAACTTGTAGTTCTTGCGTAGTAAACTGTAGTTCTTGCGTAGTAAACTGGCTGTATCAGTTGTGACCCTCTTGCAACTTGCAAGAGACTCTTGAAGCATTATTAAGAATGCCCTAGTAGTATTGGTAGTAGTAGTAGTACAACTGACTTGTCAAAATACTTTTGAAACTCTTGAGGCATCTGTTCCAGTGCTAAAATGACTTGTTGAAATGTTAGGTTACTGCTGTGGTCTCACCATCCGCCACTCCTATACTAAGCGAGGGACAACAGTGTTACTCAGTCACTTCCAGGTTTGACATTGGTTTTCACAAATATGCTTATGATGAAAAATTCTCAGAGGGTGTTCGGGTTTATGTTGATAATGTCTTCCCTCTTGTGCAGTGTTTCTCAAGTATTCCCTGCAGTAAGCTTTAATTTTGCCAACAGCGCATCTCTTCTGTTAAAACCAGCAGACTACCTTCATCAATCTGTTGTAAGTTGTTACCGTTCTGGCTTCTGATTCACTTGCCTTAATTTATGGATTCACTTGTTAGTTGTTTCTCTCCCTCCACAAAGTCTAACAGGCCATACTCCCTTGTAGATGGATGTTGGTGGCATTTGGTGTGTAGGGTTTTTGAAGAAGCCAGGAGTGACCATCTTAGGAGGTTAGTCTATGTATCTTTTTTATTAAAAAGTCCGAATGTCTTCCTCGACTACCTGTGCTGCAAAAACACCAAACTGACTGGCTGAGTTAATAATGTTCTAATTCTGATTGCCTTGTCTTGTTCTAATCTGCAGATCTTGTTCTGAAAGACAAGATCGTTGTGTACGATCTTGTCCATCAGCAGATTGGGTGGACTTACTACGACTGTAAGATCAATAAAACCATATGAGTCTTCCTTCTGTCCTTCCTTTGCCGATTCATTTTTCGTTTCAACTAGTATTGCTGACCGGCTCCTTGTTTCACCCCTCATCCAGGTTTGAAGGCAGTGAATGTTTCTGTTCCGAAACAGCGAAGCTCGAGTGCTTCTTCCAGCGACATGCTGTTGACGTCGCTGCCTCTAGCAATCATCATTCTCTCCTTACAAATATTCTCGGTGATTGTGGATCAAGTCAATGTAAATTAGTGTTCTTAGCTAGCTTGTGGATCAAGTCAATGTAATTAGTGTTCTTAGCTAGCTTAGTCCATGTTTTTTATACAGTATCTGAACAATATGATCAATAATTCACTCTTTCCCCTGATTCTTAAACTGTTCCCATTCCTGACTTATGAGTTACTAATGAGAAGGGAGTGGAGTATAGGAACGGCATGAAGTATCAAATGGATTTCTTACTAATTATGTTCTTCCTAATTAGCATATTAATTAAAACCGGCCTCCTAAATTAACCCGCACATCAATATTGAAATTCAAAATACACAATATCAATTACAGTTGTCCTCAACAATATATAGAAACATCATTATTGTTGTTTCTCATTTTTTTTTTTTTTTTTTTTTTTTGTGGGGGATCAAGGAAGACAATAATCACTTTCCAAAACACCAATAAAAAATGGTATAACATAGATATAACTTTCCATAACACCGGAAGAGAAATATGGTATCATTAATCTTCTATCTTTTTGGCTTCCTATATAAACAGATAATCTATCACTTAAATTACCAATTGAAATCTCAACACCAAAACAAAAAAGTTCAGACTTTATCAAGCTCTGTGCCGGTTCCATATCCAAGCATACTATGGGGAAGACTTGTTTCAAGTTGTTGTTCTACATCGTGCTTTTGATTTTTGTTGTTTCTGGTAAGTATATTTTTTTCGTCTTTGTTATATGATAGCACATCATTTTCGTATTGTCTTCAATTCATAAACAAAATCAACAGATTCTTTTCTTTGCTAACATGATCTGTTGTTTTCAAAATAAAAAATAAAAATTGCGTACTGCAGGCGGGAACAAGAATCAAATTGGAGCAGAAGGCAAATACGTGAGCAAACCGTGTGCAAGTCAGGATGATTGTGCTTCATGGGGTCCCCCATGTCACTGTAACTTGGGACTTCATATGTGCGTCTGTAACGTACCACCGAGTGCAAAATCTCTTCTAAACTAAATCTCAGAAACTGGAAGATCGATATTTGATACTATTATATGAATAAAATGGATGTTTTGTTTTGAAATTGTCGAGGTATCAGTCCAATCCTAACAAATCGATCATTAGTTGATGTTGTAGTTCATCGTCCTCGCTCATTTCTATTGTTCCTTTGTGAAGCTAAGAATGTGGATGATCATGTAAAAGAGTATCAACTACAGCCTTAATGATTAAGATTAACATGAAGATTTAAAACCACAATACAAAGTCATAACCATTTGCCAAACTACTCTCAGTAAACAAGAAAACCAGTCCAATGAACTGATCTACTGCAAATGGAAAAGGAACCAATACAAATACTTCAAAAACAAAACAAAACAAAAAAAACACTTCAAAATGGTGTACCAATTTCACTCCTAGTTTCAGATGGGCTGTAAAGGGCAGATCGGTTTCTAGGCCTGTTCTCCTCCAATTGCTTCACCACTTCATCCATGGTTGGCCTGACAGAAGGAACTGGAGCGCAGCACCCCATTGCAAGCTTCAACGCCTGCAGCATACCTTCCTCCATGGGATTTCTGAGACCCTTCAGGATGTCGATATCGAAAACTTCCATCGTTGTTTCCTCCAGCACTGCCTCCTTCACCGTCGATGGAAGGTCCACAAAGTCGCCGTCCTTGCCATTTTTCCCTGGTTTCTTGCCAATCAAGATCTCCAGCAGAAGTATGCCGAATGCATATACATCCGTCCTGGAATTGCACTTCTTCGACCTCTGAAGCTCCGGCGCTTTGTAACCATCTGTTTTCGCTTGGGCTACGATCTCGTCAGCTACAGTTGGGACCATCAGCTTGTCGAGCCCAAACTCGGTGAGCCTAGCGACAGAGAAATCGTCGACCAGCACGTTTTTGGACCTCACGTTGCCATGGGTAATAGGCGTCTCGAGACCCGTATGAAGGTATGCCAGTCCCCTGGCAATGCATAACGCTATCTTGTGTCGCTTGGTCCAGTTCAGCATTGGCTTCCCCACTTTAGTCTCTACACAATCAGGCATGTACACAAATTAATGCAGGAATGACTCTAATATGCTAAGTTGAACCAGAAGCTAAAGGTTTGTTTTGATGGTGGATTGTAGCTCAAGCAAAAAACAAAAGACATGCATTGCAACAAGAAAGGCAGAGAGAGGGGGAGACCAAACATACTTACCATGTAAGAGATCGTGGAGATTACGGTGTGGAAGATAGTCGTAGATAAGCAGCTTTTCACCTCTTTTCCCTTGGTAGAAAGCTCTCAAAGGAATCAAATTCTCATTCCTTATCTTCCCTAGCTGTTTGATCACAGATGAACAAGAACTTCCATCCTTACAACTCCCTTCTCTTAAAAGCCTCAGAGCAATCGTGCTTCCATCACTTAATTTTGCCTTGTAAATGGTCCCGTAGCTCGTTTTCTCCATAACTTGTCCCGTTGCATTCAGCACATCATCGAGCGTCAAATGCTCGCCACCTTGGAACAACACCAGTTTCCCTTCTCCACCACCACCGCCACCATTTTCTTCATCATCTTCTCCTTCCTCCAGTTCATCGTCACTATCTCCCCTCCCTTTTCTCTTCTTGTTCTGCACATAACCAATCAACAGTGAAGCCAACACCACCACTCCAGTCATCAACCCGATCACGATCCCAGCAATGGTGCCAGGGCTCAAACCCCCAGAAGTTGCAGTTCCACTGCAACTTTTCAAGGGATACCCACAAAGTGTAGGGCTGTTCCCTTCAAAAACCTCCACACCAAACTTGGTGCCCTCGAAAGCAGCAGGCAACATCCCACTGAAGTTGTTCTGCGAAAGATTCAACTTTTCCAGGTGTTGTAAACCCTGAGGGATCTGCCCTTCAAACGAATTACTCGAGAGATCAAGCTCCTTCAACCCTACAAACTTGGTAACAAATTCCGGGAACTTCCCTGAAAACTTATTGCTACCAAAATCAAGCACCTCCAGCTTCTCGCAAGTGGAATTGGGCAGCAATGCAGCAGGGTCAGGAATCACCCCAGATAACGAATTGCCATGAACCCTAACTATCACTAATTTCTCACACAAGTTCCAAATTGAAGGAGCTAAAGACCCAGTCAACAAATTGCCACCCAAATCAATATGAGAGAGTGAAGAGCTGTAACCGAGCTCGAGAGGGATGATTCCAGTGAGCGAGTTGAAGTTAAGAAACAAACCCTGAAGCATTGAGAACTCACCGAGCTCTCTGGGGAGAGAACCAGTGAGATTAGCTGAAGGGAGCTGGAGGGAGTAAAGGTGGAGAGAAGGGTCTTTGAAGAGGGAAAGATTGGACCACTGTGGAGCGGAGAGGTCCTCTGAGCAAGAGAGCGGAGAGCCATTGGAGAAAACCCATTTGAGACCTCGCCATTGACAGAGTGGGACGGTGGTGGTGTTCCAAGATGAAAGCAGGAGGTTTTCATTGTTGTTACCTTGGAGCAAAGGTTTGATCTTGCCTATGAGAAGCTCAACATCCGTCGTGGTAGCAGAAGAAATGTGGGCTAAGGCGATGGCGGAGAGGAAGAAGATGCGGGAAAGGGTGCAGAGAGAGTAAAGTTTGGGAACCCCCATTACTGAAAGAGAAGAGAGAGTGTGGGAGTGGGAGAAACTGAGAAAGTAGTGAGTTGAGTTGAGTTGAGTGAAGTTAGTGGAGAAACTCAACAAGGGAAAGGGAAATGGAAAGGAGGAGTAGACTAATAAAAAGCTGTGCTTTCGGCTACTTTGTGAGCCGTCCGATCAGCAGTCTTTCTCTTGGGGAAGGTGGCGACCAGGCTAATCGACGGTGGAGCGGGAAGTGGGGACATTTGACCTTTTTGAAATTCTTGGGTCGTTAAATTGTTGCTAGTAGAAAAGAGAACAACGGGCAGGTGGAAAGAATGAAGCATAATGAGTATGCCATCGGCATGCTTTCGCCTTTCAGTGGCAAGCTTACTAATAATGCGTGCTTTTGTCAGTGTTTGTTTACTTGTTATATAACACTTGATTATATGAGTAAGAATAATCGTTATATAGTACTTGAAGGAGAAAGATGTAAATATGCTAAACACTCGAGATCAGAAAGTATAGTTTCTGTTGATTACCATTAGTCTAAGCCCTGGTTGTCAATAGAGACACTCAACTTATTGTTCGGTCTTGCAGACCAGCCTCTCGTTGAGTGCTTGAGCTACCTCTTTCGAAAGTTTCACCTCCACGATTCGCGCGAAGCTCGGAAAGGCTGTTGAAGCAAAGATCACAAGTTGGCCTGACGAATTGGCCATAGATGTGCATTGCCACAGCTCGACTCAGCGGCAGGGTGTTGTCCTCTCGTCGAACGAGCAGGATCATGAGCACTTTAGTTTTGTTCTCATATTTCGCATGCTCATCCTAAGAAACTGGACTAGTTCTTCTAAGTATCCCATATCCACAATGGAGAGAAATGTTTTGCTGATTACTTCCAAAAATAAGGAGATACATCTCAACCAAATAGAAAGGAGGGGTACAAAGAGAAGTCTCTAACTATTCCCTCAGTAAGCACCAACGGTAACTTCAAAAAGGTGGAAACAAATACAAACTCAGAACTGTGTTTTTCCTGTTCGTACAAAAAAGACCTACATTTCTCCAGATCAAACAGTAGTATGAACCTGAGACTCAACTGATCTCAACACTGCCTCTCCCATTTCCTTGCAGCCGACCAGTTTCTGCACAAGATTGTGTTGTTTATATGAGCGCCTAATACAGAATTATATTCCTACGTAAAGAGATCACTTACAGTGCCGGTTGAATATATATCTCCCGTCCTGAAACCCTTGTTTAGTGTATCAAGTACAGCATTCTCGATCCACCTTGCAGCATCTTCTTCCTCTAAGCCGTACTTCAAAAGCATTGCTGCACTGAGAATAGTCGCCAGTGGATTTGCTTTATCCTGTGTTGTGAAGAATTGAATGTCAATGTGGATGATATAGGAGACTAATGCGAAACTTATCTTCAAAATGAAGAAGAATCATGCTGACCTGTCCAGCAATGTCAGGAGCAGAACCATGAATTGGCTCGAAAAGTCCAGGACCCTGTAACCAATTAAATGTTTTTAAGTAAAAAGGTGTAAATGAGTTAAAGCAAGAAGCCTTGGCTGGCTGTAGCGAGATTTGGTAAGTACCGAAGATCCAAGGCTAGCTGATGGAAGCATCCCTATGCTACCAGTGATCATCGAGGCCTCATCAGAAAGTATATCACCAAAGATGTTGTTCGTCACTATTGTATCAAACTGCAAACATCAACATGAATTCCAGAATTTCAGTTTTCCTTGTAGATCCTTATAACGAATTTTGAGGTCTGTATGAAGTATGAACATAACCTGTTTTGGGTTCCGTACAAGCTGCATAGCTGCATTGTCAACGTACATATGTGAGAGTTCAACGTCGGGATACTCTTCTGCAATTGCAGTTACTCGCCTTCTCCACAGCATTGATGCCTACATAGTATATAACGCAATGAAATTTTGACCATTGTCTAGGCATATTACCAAATAATTCAGCACAAATACCTCCAAGACGTTTGCTTTATCGACAGAACAAAGCCTTCCCTGCCGCTTCCTTGCAGTCTCAAATGCAACACGAGCAATCCGGTCAATCTGGTACAACCATAAGTTCACATCAATCAATTATTCACAAGAAACGAAGTAAAACAAAAGAACTAAACTACTCTATTATACCTCATATGCAGCATAAACCTCGGTATTGTAACCGACTTCATCACCATTTTCATCTATTCTAAAGCCCCGTGGCTGGCCAAAGTAAATACCTTTTTCCAAACAAAAGCTTTCTTCAGCTTGGTATAAGCCATAAAGAAAAACACATACAGAATAGAGAGTGAAAGAGATGAACTATCAAAATAAATAGAACTGACCTCCAGTAAGCTCCCTTACAACCATAACATCAACACCTTCAGCAACTTCTCTCTTCAAAGTTGAAGCCTCCACTAACTAAGCTAGCACACGATACAGGCATACATCACTCATTATGAATATGCCTACTCTCTGCATTCATGAAGCTGAAAGCTAATCAAAGACCTTCGAACAACAACTACCTGTGGGAGGACAGTAGCTGGTCTCAAATTTGCAAAAACCTTGAGACCTTCTCTAATCTGGAGCAATCCAGTCTCGGGCTTCAAATGTTTGGCATTATTGTCCCATTTGTACCTTTGGAATGTCACGGGAAACTAGCACTATTCAGTTCCTCTTAGCAAATGGAATTGAAGATTGAAGCGAAAAGAAACTGCATAGGCTGAAGAAACAAACAGCATCCAATGCTAGCTCGACTTACCCCCCAATAGCTCCAAGAAGAACTGCATCAGAATGTTTAGCGGCTGCTAAGGTTTCGTCTGGCAATGGAACTCCCACCAAGTCCAATGCAGATCCACCCATAGGCATCTCTTGGAAGTTAAACTCAATCCCTAGCACATCCAAGCCATCGTATGAGTGAAAGTTATATTCCAATAGCCTGGAAGCAATCAATCTAACTATAATCTTCGTTCAGTCACAGGCAAGTTCGAACGCCTAACCATCTCTACCATTTCCCAGCAATAATCCTCCACTCTTCAGTTAAAAAAGTAACCTGAAATGCTCAAAATTTACATTTAAACCACTTGATAAGTAGCTCTCTTTACATTGAGAGCTAATAGCATAACAAGACTATACACATTTAAACCATCTATACCATTTCCCAGCAATAACCCTCTTCACTCTTCAGTACCAAACTAACCTGAAAGACTCGAAATTTACATTTTACTGGCTTGATTTCACTGCAATAGTTCTCCCATTCCCAGTTTTTATATCTTTTACCTTCGTATGAGCACAAGGTATTTGCAGAAAAACAAACCTACCTTCCAGAGAACCAGTAAGCTTGAGAACGTCCTTGGCTACAGAGATGACTTCAGGGCCAATGCCATCTCCAGGAAGGAGAGTAATCGAATACCGTTTCTGTGGCGCATTCGCCGCCGCGCAGCTTACACTGAACAGTCTCCGGGAGCATTTGGAAGCAGGATTAACCCGGAACGCTGTGCTCGCTGGCTTGCAATTTATTTGCAGAGAAGCCGCCATTCCCCTGCCAGAGGCAAAGATTAAAGATAGGGATATCTGAAAATAGAGTAAACACGGAGAACTGAAACCTTAATAAGGGCAAACGGAAGTGTGTCGCGATCGAATCGACCCAGCCCAATTGCGAGTTCCGACTGAAAATAACAAAAAGCTTCTTACTTTATATCCCACCTGGCTTCTACTGTTTTTCAGAGAGCAGCCAAGGGGCGATTTTGGAGCAGAGTTTATCTGGCCGCAAAGAAAGAAGAGGAAAGGAAGAGACTTTCGGCGGCGGTGGGAGCGGAGAAACTTGGGTTTTGGTCTTTTGGATAGGTGGGGAACCAGGAACCAGGAACCAGCCCGGTACTTCGTCCGGGTCGGTAAACCAAAGGGTAAGCAAGCTATAAATTGGCGGGAAAATAGAGTACTCCAGAGAAAAAAGAACCGAAGGCCGGCCACATTCGATCAATTTCTGAAGAACTTCCTCATTCTTTTTCTTCCTCGAGTCCTCGTCAATCGCTTCACACTCACATCAATGAATGACGCAGCTCCGGCAGAACAATCGCCACCACCAGTCCCAGTTCGACGTTTTCCGCGGCGGAGAAACTCGCGGTGGCTTGAGAGAGGGGACGAGATCTCGCCGTCTATCTCGGGGGCGGTCGCGAGTTTGGAGGTCTGCGTCGTCGTTATCTGGGAAAGCTACGCGTTTTCCCCCTGGACGAGATTGCCGAAATTGCAGAGTGCAAGCGCCGTAAGGGGACGGCGGTCGTGCCCGTGTCGAGTGAGCGGTCAGCTGGGCCAGGTCGGGGAGGCGCTTGATGGAGGCATGGCAGTGTATGAGAAAAGGTGGAGAGGTGCGCTGGGGAAAGTCGGGAATCTCTCCGGCTAGGGTTCCGGCGTCACCAGGTAATCATTTTAGAGACCTAATATACCTTTAATTGCCTCATTCATTTCCCGTCCTTGATTCCTTATTTGGCAGCACGATTATTTACAATGGTTTTGTGGCAGGCCAGAATCGAAACTCTTGGATGAAGTTGTCAATGATGTCTTGGAACAAATTAAACCAACGATGCCCAAAACCAGTCCCATGGAAGGTCTGGTCGGAATCCAAGCTCTCATCAAGGAAATGGAATCCTTGCTGCATAAGGATTTTCCAAATGATGATCATGTTCTTACGGTGGGAATATAGGGGATGGGTGGCATTGGCAAAAACCACAAGGCTGAAGCCATATTTGATCAATTGTCACCTCAATTTGAAGGTAGCTTCTTATTGGAAAATGTTCAGGAGCATTTGGAGAATGACTAAGCATTGCCATGTCATTGCAAAATTCGATTGGTGATACCAACATAAATGCGGAGGATTGCGTATAAAAAATATGTAACATTAGGGTTGCAAAAATTTCATGTACCACAAAAGCAAATATGTTCATCAATAATGACAACATGATGTAGGCATCACCCGATTGAACAACCTTCCAACTCATTAGAACAACCATAAAATTCAGAGTCAAACACCACAACTTCAATGTATATATAGAAGAATTTCCAACATCTACACTATCATTAAACTCATGGAATTTGATTAAAAAATAAACTGTGGAGGAGATGACAACAACACAAACAAGGTAATCTCTCAAACTTTTTACTTTTAGCCCCATTTGAAAATTATATTTAGACACTTTATGTAAAGAACTTACATGGTTAAGTTCATGAGTTTCTAAATAGTGACTTCAACTCTAAATAGTTATGTTTTTTCCTCGTGGTTTCTTAATGAAAGAAGACTACAATTAAACGAATGGGATAGTTCACACTTGGTCGGCTCAAATAGAAATGCTTCTCGATCGTGATTAGCAATGCAGTAGGGATTATGATTCATATAAAGACAGCAAACACAACGGTTTGGGCAACACATCTTTCTACATGTGTTTACCACATTAACTTCATCACTTGAATGCATGATTTTGCTATTGAATAAGAAAGTAAAGTTGAGCCGAACCACATGATAACATCAACAAGATAAGATCTCATGTCAATCTCTTCGCAATGATGTTAATTCAATACCATTACCTATATTGAAGAGCGGCAAGCATACTATTTGGGACCTCTTAGATTTCAATTGATAAGATCCACAACACTGTACAACCTTCATCCATGAAACAACTGTATCATGGTCATGGATCATCTTCCATGTGTTCTAATATGGTGTTATCAATTGTCCCTCTTTTCGCTATACTTTTCTATTTATGTCCTTGATGCTCTAAGATAAATTAGTTACTTTTATGTTGTTTCACATTGATGATATTTTTCTTTCAACATTAATCTACCTAATATACTAAAATTGTGGATGACAAAACCAATGCAAATAAGAGGTTGGTCATCTTAATATAGATATGAGACACACAAAACGACTAAATCACACAGAACCAAAAGTGAAATGAAAAGGAGAAAATGAAAATAACTCGGCCATGGGCCGGGCTCAAAGCTAGTATTTTGACCGACTTTTTAGATGCTACAACAATTAATCTACACGGACCATAGCCTACACTATGCCAGAACAGTTTAAGATCCTTCAACTCAACTATGTCCGATTAACGGGCAAGATTAGAAGCTAATTTCTTTATAACGTGTTATTAGCTTCCTAAGGCTCCTGAGAGTCGTGTCTATGTTGCTTCCGGTCAGGACTGTGTTAGCAGAGGTTTTGGGTCTGCCAACACAGCAAGCAAGGAAGAGGCGAACAGACAGTGACAAACAAACTTCAGAAAAAAAATTGTATCATACTTAAATAACTGGTAATTGTACGGTATTTTCAACTGAATACGTGACATGGTTAACATGGCTTGTATTTTCAAGTAACTAGATACACGTGAACTAGAATAAATAGAAATTAGATAGCCATAAGTGCAGAAAGCATTCATCGAAGCAAAAGAAGATGAGCATTAGGCCGTAAGTTTTGTTCGGGGGGCATCTTCAAACCAATCACGCCCAATAAAGATTACGATCGAAGTTCCCGAGCTTAAAGCAATCTCTGTCAGGATGATAGATCGGCACCAAACAGTCGGGATCACATCCTGCACAACCCTTCGTCAAGCTAGAATAGTCACCTGCACACGCCAATATAAAGTTAGATGAGTTCAGAACTAATAGATGACAGAGTCATGAATTGGCTTGTGAAACAAATCACTCGTTCGTTGACTGTGATAGGTTCTGCAAATTAAGCACTGCGCTCACCATTTTGATCAGGAGAAAGGATGCAATATGATAATACTTCAGGCTGATCCTCCGGTTCATCCTCACTGACGACCTCGCCAAAAATCCGGTGGATAGCTCCAGCCTGATCTTTGGCTGTGAAGTTGAGATGGATGATCAACTTGTCCCGGCAATCAAAAGGAAAGCTGACTAATGCCTCATCAAGCGCTAAATCAGCACCCTGAACAAGTAATAGGATAATGGTTTTTGTTAGCAAAACAAGGACAAAAACTTGACTTGAAAACTTGCAATTGAAAATACGTACAAACCTAATTAAGAATGCATATCCAGGACCCATACGAAAAACAAAGCAGTCAGAGCATAACCCATTTACATAAGCTAGAACAACCATTAACCAAAGTCTACAGACCGCATAAGCCATTAACAGCAGCCAGAGCAACCCTTAAAAGTTTAAGAACAACATAAGTCATTTATAACATCCAGAACAATCCACCATTTATAAACAAAACCACCCAACACACACATACCTACTGCATTACACTGCACTACGACTACAAATAAAACAAAAGAGGTAAAATCTTACTAACAACCCAAACCGCAAACCACGTTGTGTAGAGCGCACACTAACACAAAAACCACAACTTGATTCATCAACAGCCCCACACAAAGAACACAACCATTAACCTCACTTTCCCACTCCCTGATTTTATCAAGATTGTTTATTCTATTTAAGGCAATCAGCATATCATCACCCAGTTCGTTGGCGGTCCAAAAGGAGCTTTCAAACAAGTTTTTAATCAGAACAAATCTAAACTAAACTCCATGAATAATACACAAAGGAAAAGAAAAAACTAAGCGACTAGAGATAATATGAGTCGGGCAGAAGTAGTAACCTCATTCTCAAGATTGTACGTTTCTAAAACTTTCTCAGCGTAAAACAAGTTCTGTTCTTCCAAAGTTCTTGATGGGATGAACCTATCGCCAATCAGTCAAAACTCAAGCACATAAATATATGTGGGTTCTACTAATTAAATTAAGACAGACAAAAATAAGAGAGCTCTTACTCACTCAATGGGCTCATCAACCGTGGACGGAGCTACGATAATTCCAGCGAACTTCGCAATGTCCTCCTGATGGGTCTCCAGGTAGGAGAGCAGTTGCATGCTGTTATCAACTTTGGCAGCCGTTTCCGCCTCGATCGACTTTTGGTGCTTCACCGTCGATGCCATATTACCAAGGTGCATTTTCATCGCCTGCATTACTATAAGCTGTTCCTGGAATTGCTTGCTCAGCAGGCGCAATTCCTCGCAATTCGCAAAAGAAAGTCGCTTCAGCTTCTGGTTTTCCGATCGGAGCTTCCTGATTGTCTTCTTGTTTTCATTCCGTTGCGGGTAGGATACTTCGCCGTCGTGGGATCCTCGGCGAGAGTCGGGATCGATGCTGTGAATAGAAGGTAGCGTTCCGCCGGAGCGCGATCGTCTATCCATGTAACCGGCTAGGGTTTCGATTTGATGGATTCGGGGATTGGAACGAATAGCGAAGCGTCTTTCTATTCTTTCCACTACTCTGGTGTGGGCTGGGCTCTATTCTATTCTATATAATTGCAGCTCTTCGGCCGACGTCCTTTCCGTACGCTGTTAGGCTTATCACGAATCGGCCCACAAATAAATAATGAGGATTTTATTTTATAATAATAAATAATGAGGATTAATAAGGGTAGGGCCTAGGCCCTAGGGGAATGGAATTCAGATAAAATAAATGAAATTAATTAATTAATTAATTTCCGTAAGCCATAAAGCAACAAACAACACTAAATCCCAACCGTCCGTAGCCTTTCCCCTTTCCTTAGACAGAACGGTAACATTGCAGAATTGAAGTAGGAAATCCAAAGGTCTACCAATTAGGTTTGAGCTCTCGATTTCTTTTCTCTGTGGTTTTCTCGTCCACGGCCGTTCTCCGTCAGCTGGATTTCTCCAGGCAGCTCCCAACTTTCCAGAGAGAGTTAGACGGCGAAAATGGAGGTAGGATATTTTTTTTCTCTTCCCAAGTACTCAAATTCGGTCGTGGTCTCCGTTTTCAATCAGGACGTTTGGTCTTGTGGGATTTATGTTTCTCATGCTCCCTTTCTATTTACGGGTCGTTTGCTTGAGGGTTTTGGTGATGGATTTGGTTAAGGAAATATATCTATCATGGACTTGAACCGAAATCCATCGTTTGCCTTAGGGAATTAGGGAGATGAAATTTGTGGGGCCCACCTCTTTTAGGGTTCCAAATCCGTGGACCCCACGGACTTGGAAGTTCCACCACTTGAGGTGGGATTTGGGTGATGGATTAAAATCCATGATGGTAAATTACCTTTCTACCCTTAGTTATTTCTTTAATTACAAATTTGTCCTACTTTAATTCAATGGTCATGCAACTGTAAACTTTTATAATTCCGTATTTTATAAATATGAGAATTTATCATTTCATTTTGTAATATCGTATTTTATTTAAATATGAATGTATATGTGATTTGTTAGATTCGCCTAGAAACACTTTATGCTCATCTTGTTAGATTCACCTAGAAACACTTTATGCTCATATTGCGTACATTATTAGATGAATTGTTAATTAGTGCCAAATTGTAATACATTTCTATATTTGTAGTTGAATTATTAATCCACATAGTGGTAAAGAGTTTAAAATTTCTTTCTATGTTTTGGATTAGTTTTAAATGAAAGATTTGGATTAGAATATAGAAATATAATTAAATAAGGGTAACTAGGTAATTTGTATTTAATATCCACAAATCTAATCAAACAAAGTCCATAATCAAATCCATCAAGCAAACAATAGACTTGTTCAAATCCATAATGCCACCAAATCCATCATATATCCATGGTTTTCCAAAACCCAGGTTTTACCAAAACCCTCATTTTTCAAATCCATGAAGCAAACGACCCGTTAATGTTGCGGAATTTTAGGGTTCGACGATCCCCGGCGAGGAGCCGACCAAGGATGTCGCGGCTGATCATGAGGACCAGGACGTTGAGTCCGTCGAGAGTCTTGAGTCGCTGTTCCAGGTGGCGGAGGCGACGGATGTAGAAGAGAAAGGCGGAAGCCTGAATGAATTCAGGAGGGTAATAATAGGCATGACAGAGAGACTACAGCAAGCGAAGACGGAGAATGGAAAGTTGGCCAGGCGTGTGATCGAATTGACGAGGGTGTTGAAAGGCATGGAAGCGAAGCTGGATAAGGTGAAGAGAGAGAAGGGGGAGACAGAGAGGAGATTGATGGAAAAGGAGAGGGTACTGAAGGCCATGGAAGTTGAACTGGAGCCGTTGATGGCAGAGAAGAGAGAGAGATCGGGCATATGATTTGCTGACGTCAAGGTCAGCTCTACTGGAACCGCTAGATAAGGAGCTTCTACTTTTGTGCCTTGTTACTTTGATCGTTCGCATAGACACTGACTTGGTTTAGCCAATGAACTTTGCTTGCAAGGTAAAATTACTAAGGTTGTTTGTAGAACAAGTTAAGTTATTTTATCAGGAAAAGGTAGCAATGAAAGCAATAGTAGCGAATTGTACTTAGCACTCTCAAGGTATAACATCCTTCTCGAGCAACTTATTTTGTATACCGTGACAGCTAGAAAACAAAATTCTGTTGGCGATATATTATGAATTGTATGTCTTTCAGTTGCACACAAGCGTGTTGCCAATCGGCATTTGATTCGGCCCAAAGATTACCTGAATTATAATTGAAATGTTAGAATTATGTACAAACCACTGCAACCTATAGGTAGGAGCTATAGCTAAAATTTAGTCATTTGACAGTTGACACTAGGAGATAAATGCGAGACATCTATCTATTTAGTAATCCCACTGGCTCTGCAACATCTTTCAGTGACATTTCTTCTGGACTGACTTGGGAAAGAGGCATCTTGTTGAGAAGGGAAGTGCCAATTCATCCCTGTAGAGGTAGAGTTCAGATGCACTTACAAGCTCTCCTCAGCTCATGGCACAATCTGACTTCTCGGCTGGTTTGGTTCTCAGTTCCTGTTAGCATCATCAGTTGGCTGATAGGGTTGGAAGTTTTCAAAATAATCTTATGATAAAACTGATTGCACCATTGCTTTCTGCTAATTCTCCAAAATCAGTGTTACTTCAGTTAATTTGGTGTAGAACTTGGGGATTCTACCTTTTTCTCTTTTTTCTACGAGAAAAGTTGCAAACAAGGACTGCAGTTTGATGCACTTTAGCTCTATAACTCCAACCACTAGGTTTGTTTCTGGTACTTCCTCACATCTTTGTTGGAGTTTTATGCTTCTTATTATCTTTACTACCTAAAGTGATTGATTGTATTGTTTTCAATGATCATATTAATGCAAATATATATATAACTCCAACCACTAGTTTTATGCTTCTTATATATATATATTATATATTTGCTTCTTATTATCTTTGCTACCTAAAGTGATTGATTGCATTAATTCTCAGTACTTGTAACTGTTTTAACTTCAACAATCCACACAAATAAAAACAGCAAACATAATAATTGTCTACATCTTCATCATCAATAATGGTAGCTAAACTCAATTTCTCAAGGGAAATTGACCCTTTGGTTAGCGGGGCGGGTATAACGGGGCGGGTATTATCGATTACCATACCCGTACCCTACCCTTTATTTTGAAACCGGGTATTACCCGTACCCGCCCCTTAACCCGTCAAAGTGGGTAATTACCCTCGTTGACCGGTTACGGTCGGGTAGGGTACCATGTACGATTCGTGATTCTCATTAGATGTGGTGATGGGATTTAAATACCCAATTTACAACACAAAGTCCTCTCCCATGCATGCACGTAGCCTACAATGTAGGAATGAACTAACCACTAAGTATGATAATTAAATACAAAATTATTTAAGCAAAAGTAGTATCCTTATCACGCCCCCGCAAGATACATAAATCCTTTTACAAATAGGACTACTAATATGTAAACCCTCAAAAACATCCATCACTAGTATCCATGCAGGTAATCTCCACGAGGGTGGTATATTGGGACTTCAGCATCAGGATCACAACCTCCACATCCTTTCTGGTAATGGTCATAACCACCTATGAACAACAAACATGAGCATAATCAAGTCAAACAATACTCAAGAAACCAGTGATTCTCATTTTTTCTATTGAATTGGGCATTAAAGATACTCCTAAAAAACAGACGAGAGAACGTTTACTGTGGAACGATCTTTTTCTTTTGGGGAAAAGCAAAGAGTTAGAAGTACCAGTATCTCCACGCTCGAGGATGCAGTGCGACAACACTACAGGGTCATAATCAAAAGTTGCCTCAGCAAAGAAAAGATGGACAGATCCATCTATGTCCTTGACCTTGAAGTTGATATGGACGTAGAGACAGCCACAAGACTCCACTGTGTTACTGGTTACCCCTTCCTCCAATTCCAGCACCACAGCCTGGAGTTTTGTGAAATTCACAAACAATGAGTGTATCTATTTCCTTGTATATCTCGATATCGAAGCACACATTATTCATGGCGGGTAGGTTACTAACCGGATACTCATCCTTGTAGGCCTTCATAATCTTTTTTGCAAAAAACTCGGTTTGGTGTTCCGTAGTTCTAAAGATCAAGCAACTATCCGATATCCACCACAATCGCAACCAGTTATTCTATACTCATTACAGAATCAGGGTATACGAACGAGACAAGTGGGTTTGAGCATTGTTTACCGTTCATCCAACTCCTTGAGGTACTCCGGGCTGGGTACGACTCCAATGGGTACATGATTTGCATCTCTAACTAATGGCAACACCTCCAGAGCAGCTTCATTTATGGACTTCAGCTCTCCCAGACAAGGGATCATTTCATCATCCAGCACACTACTCATTGCTTCTTGGAGTGGACGATTCGCATCAAGTTTTAGCTGAAGTTGACCCATTCCTCGAATCAAGTCCGACTGAAGTTGCTGCATCTCCGAAACCGCGTCTTTTGTAGTCGTTTTAAGCTTGGCTTTGGGCATCTGAAAACTGTACGAGACAATGGCGAGAAGAAAAAGAAAAATCCCGCCTTGAGATGAAAACAGACAGGAAGTTGTAAATTATTTTGTTCCTCAAGAACGGGGAGCCGACGGGTCTCACCTGGATCTTGACGAGGAGATGCAGAGATAATGAGGAAAGTGCGGGCAGGAGTTGGGTATTTGGACTGCCACCACGCTGGTCCTGGCCACGGGGTGAAATCGGCGAGAGAGAGGAAAGTGGAGGGGCGGCGAATAGAAGAACGAGATGTGGAGAATCGAGATCGGTGGCTTTGCTTCGATTGCAAATCATTAGGGTTTTTGGGAAAAAACGGCACCGTTTGCTAGTGTTCGCATCATAATTCATAAACCGGGTTCCAAAATAACAAGGTTGTCCATTAATACTTGGGCTAAATTGTTAGGTTGTTCACTAGATTACTAAAAAAAGTTGATTTTTTGTCAATAAAAATATTTAATTTCATTGTGTCATTAAAATTAGTTGATTATTTCAAGTTTCGTCACTTTCCTTCAACTCGATTATGTTTTGCTTACGTGTCAATCAACCTTATAGTTGACCGTTTAATTAGTGATGGCAATTTCAACCCGCCCTGCGGGTATTACCCGACCTGACCCGCGATGGGGCGGGTATTACCCGACCTGCAGTAGCGTGGGGCAGGGCATGGGTATTTACTCCTGACCCGCCCTGCCCCGCCCCGCTCCGTTCTAGACTCATTTTATCTCAATTTCTTACAATATCTATACATATTTCTCCTATTTTGACTTTTTTTCAACTAGTTAGAGTCGATTGTTCAACTTGTTAGGCTCAATTATCCATTCTATTATGAATATTTTTCATTCTTAAAGTGTTTTTCCCTACGTTTTATTGTAAAAAGTAAAATTTACTTGTATTTTTTTTTAACAACATGTAAGAGTGGGTCGACTCGTCACTATTGGTCATTGAAAATATTTAATTTCATTCGTGATCTATGGTTCAAGTTTGGTCACTCTCTGTTAGTATCCGTTAACTTTAATTTATGTGGCAGCCAACTCTTGTATTTCACCGTTAAATATGTGGTGTGATAGTAAAAAATAATATAAAAATAATTTTTTATTTTCCACATCAGCACAAATATTAAAAATAAAAAATATACTTCTTTTAATTTTCCTCCACCACCAGTACAAATATACTTCTCTTTTTCAGCCACTGCTCGGAACAGAGGCCCGGCACGAAGTAGAGCGCCGTCAAATAGTTGTCAATCCCTAAACAAAGATGCTGACTTTCAGAATTGGAGATTTCCTACAACAATCCTTGTCCAACAAGGATTTGGTGGAGATGCTCAATTGCTGTCCATGTTGGTTTATGAGTCTTTTATTACATTTACTTTATTTATTTTTTGAAGTATGAGTGTTATTTGTTTCTTAGTAGTAGACTGTTTCCTAGGTGTAGAAGGAAGTTTTTTCTTTTTGGTTAGCCTCTCTATAAATACAAGGCTTGTAGTTCAGTTTTATGCATCAAGTATTTTGAATTAGAGTTTTCAAGAGTTGCAAGAAATATTATTTTTTTGTTATTGCTTTTTGTAATTTTCAGATGGAATGGTCCGAGTGTAAAAACGAAATTAGAGATGCCTGTTTGGAGATCCAGCAGCTTCAGTCCGACGTGGCTCACGAATTTCAGCGACTCCAGCTGGATTTCACTGATACCCATTCGCTTCAAGAAGAAGAACTGCGCAAGCTAGATGAAATGAAGGCTAGAATTGAAAATTTGAAGTCAGCTAGTGGTGCTATTGTAGACTCGTTCATACGAATTCGACCTGATGTCCAAACTGTAATTGACATTGATTCCGCCAATGGAGTCGAAAGCAGCTTTAAGAGTGTCTTGAGAGAGAGATGAAAGGGTAACAGGGCTCAAATCCTCTGTTATAGGCTGATCTGATTACAAAGTTGTGTCTCGGATGACAGATTCTCTTAATATTTAAAATTCAGGAAGACAATCCAGTTCTTGCGAAAAGTCATTCGTTTAATCGTTTTCGTTATTTATGTTTGTTCATTAGTTGTGTTTTGTGTAAAATTAGCTCCAATACTTATTTCTAGGTGGGAGATCTTGTAATCACTAATCAGCATTTGATATTTTGATTATTTCTTTCATTCGGGTAACTGTATGTACTAAAAAGTTCACGTTTGGTCACTGAAAATATTTAATTTCATTCGTGATCTATGGTTCACGTTTGGTCACTCCCTGTTAGTATCCGTTAACTTTAATTTATGTGGCAGCCAACTCTTGTATTTCACCGTTAAATATGTGGTGTGATAGTAAAAAATAATATAAAAATAATTTTTTATTTTCCACATCAGCACAAATATTAAAAATAAAAAATATACTTCTTTTAATTTTCCTCCACCACCCGTACAAATATACTTCTCTTTTTCAGCCACAGCTCGGAACAGAGGCCCGGCACGAAGTAGAGCGCCGTCCGGCCCGCCAGGTGTCGCAGCCGTCAGATTCGAGGGTGGAACTGCTCGGAATCGAGGCCCGAGACGAAGTGAAGCGCCGTCCGGCCCGCCAAGTCCACAACCCGTGGGATTCGAGGATGGATTGGAGGGCCGACGATGGTGGCGGATTCGTACTAGGCGACAATGTTCTTGGATTGGAGAAGGATGATGGCGGCGGTCGAATTCGTACTCGGCGGCAACGTTCTTGGCGATCTTGTCGGAGAGGACCCAGGAGGGTCCGTGACCGTCTTTCCATTGGATTAAGTACCCCATCCCGACGCCGCCCTCGAGACCTCTGCTTCCAATGATCTTGCCGACTTCGCCGTTGTCGTCCTCGCCTTGGATTGGTTGCTGGGTTCTCCCCACTTGTGAGTTTGAGCAAATGTTGGGAGAAGACTAATTCAGCTCTTTGATAAGACTTGACCGTGACCGCCCAAAAACATTTAGTCGGGATTGTGTTCTTGTCATCTATGTATGTTTCTCGGAGTTGCGCCCTATGACATCGAACTTTGTTTTTGGATTCTCCTAACTTAAAAAAGCTTACATTAAGGAACAGAACTCACAATGCCGTGCGGTGAGATGCAGCACAATTATTCTAAGC